TTCATCCTTTGCCAATCGGTGTCGCCCTTTTTTCGTCGTTCCCGCGGAAGAACAGTGGATGTGCTGGACCGAGGCCGCCCGTCTACTTTCCCGTGGAAGCCGAGGCGAACCTTGTGGTCGTTTCGTGAGGAACGGTGATGTAAGAGGCCCACGTGATTGGCCCAATGAGCCAGAGAAGCTAGTAGTAACAAGTGCCACGCTAGTAGTAACAAGTGCCTTACTAGTAGTAACAAGAAGCTATTATGTTTAAATTTGAATATAATTCTAATAGCACGGTCCAGGTGTCTTGTGAGCCAGGTCTCGAAGGACGCCAAGCAAGCTGGCAAGTTGACTGATCTGATTCGGCAGGAGCACGTCGCAACGTTGCTGCGCGTTGGCAGCGATGGTTCGATCACCGAAACAAAAGAAACAGGTTCGAGTCCGGCATGCAGAGAGTCTGCAGGATCTGGGTGATGGGGATAACGCAACTTGTCCAGAATTATGCAGTAGATGAAGATGGTCTGCCAGATGGTCTGCCAGATTCGATTTCGATTTGTATTCCTCCAAGCTCCGTTGGTTGCTTGTGATCATCTAAGTGAGGCCACAGATCAGCAAAAGGCTGGGATGCTAGGGAGTATGCTTGGCATGCGGGGTGTGGGTGTGGGCTGGAAGACATCCTATATAAAGTGTTGCAGTGGTCACAGAATCGGAGCAGTGCTGTCCTACTCACATAATGGTCCCGCAATAGATAGATAGAATAGAAACGGTGTCCAACACATTTTTCGTGGGGATCTACGAACTTCTATCTATTTGGGGTCCATATCTATATAAATAGTCATAGTAATAGTGAGTCTCTGTAGACTACGCTTGTCCACCGGTTTGAGCACCAACACCGGATCGATCGGTTGTCGGCGGCTGGTCAAAAACGACGATTCCGGGACCTTGGATCGTCCAGTTTTTGGGGGGTCGGGGGGGTTGGTGGTTTATCCTGCTTGGTCGATAAACCAAAAGGATTTATCTGAATGGGCTTGGTCGATAAACCAAGAGGACTTGGTCAGATATCTAAATTTGGAAAGGAAGGTTGACCCCTTGGTCCAGTTTCCTTGGGTTGGTCTTTACCAAGCCAAAGGCTTGTCCCTTCCGAAAAGCGTTTCTGTTGGTTTTCATCTTTTGTCATTTGGGTGGTTTTAATCTCAATGGACCTTCCTCAGGCACCCTTCCCTCTAGTCTCATCACAGGTGACCGCCTTGCTTTGCAAACTGGGCTGCGAGACTGCTGAGGTGGAGGCGTGTGACCTGCGGTGGGCCGAGTAGGTCGGCTCCTGGGGGTAGCAGGCCACAGCCCACGAGAGAACGTGGTGGCTGGTTCCAGGTTTGGCAAGGTTTGGGTCATCCTCCGAGACTCCATCTCCTATTTTTTTCCTTATTTGATTTTTTGTTCCTTGGTGATTTTGTTCCTTATCTGTCCGACCAGGCATTGATGAGAAGCTACACCGAGGACGAGCTACACGGGGGTGTGCGTCGACCTGGGAGCTGCGTGGCCGCGGGAGCATGGCCTGTAGATTTTACTGTAAACGATTTCGAGAGAAACAATCTACGGCCGTGAAGAACTTTTTGGGATCGAAAGAGTCCCACCATGGGAGAAGATGGGAGAAGCCAGCCAGGAAACCTACACCAGAGTCAGGAAGCCGTGAGTCCGGAAACCAGGTTGTCTGAGTCAGGAAACCTTTTTGTCCGAGTCAGGAAACCTAGAAACCACTTCACAGTTCAACAACAAAAAGAACAAGAGCAAGCAGGATAACGGATAACGATGGATGAAACAAAGAAGAAGGAGGAGGAGGAGGAGGGGGAAGATGAGAATGAGACAAGGAGGAGAAGGAGGAGAAGGAGGGCTTCACTTCTTAGGTGTTTTTTAGAGCTTAGCTTAGGGCTTTATTAGGTCTTCACTTCCTTAGGGCTTCTTTGGGCTTGGTTCAGGTCTTCACTTATTTTTGCTTTCTTTGGGGTTCCTTTGGGCTTGGTTTAGGGCTTCACTTCTTTAGTATTTCTTTGGGCTTGGCTCATATAGGCCTTCACATCTTTCGGATTTCTTTTGGATTGGTCTAGGTCTTCACATCTCTCAGAACTGGTGTTGACTGGCACGCATGTTTGCTCCCTGACCGCTCCTAAGTATTGCGACATATGCTACACCACAGCTCATACCTCCGATCAACCCAAGACTGCTCAGCAAGCTACGGATATGCGCGCGGCATAAGCTCCGCCATACTAACCATTCAACCATTCAACCATTCATTCATTCATTCATTCATTCATTCATTTCGTTTCATCTCATCTCATCTCATCTCATCTCATTTCATTTCCTTTCATTTGCATTTGCATTTTCATTTCCATTTTCCATTTCCCATTTCCATGTCATTTTATTTCATTTCATTTCTTTCGTGCATTCATTCACTCATTCATTGACTCGCACTCTTTCCTTCCCGTTCTCAAGTCCATCCATGTCCATCCCAGACCCAGCCAAGCCCCGATTTCTTCTCGAAGGCTTCCACCAAAAATCAAATTGACCCTGTTCAAGGGGCAGGGTTGATCTGCGCAGTATGTGCAGTCTCTAAGAGCGTCTTCAAAATGCCAGCTTTCTCAGTTATCAATGACGCACGGTTAGGGCATTGGTTCAAGTGGCCATCAAAAACTTACCCAAGCTTCTTCATGAGCTTGGCAGCATCGCTCAGCAGCTGGTAGAGCTGGTTCCTTCTCCTCCGTTTCTTCCCTTCGCTGCCCTTCTCCCCCGACTCATAGTTTCAAATTCTACAAATTTCCAGCTACTGCATACCCCCCTGTCCGAGGACAGCTCTCGCCTCAGATGCTCTCCTAGGTTTCTTGACTGCCATTCCAGTTCCTGACTACTGGGCTTCTGACTCTGTCCAAATGGTTTCCTGACTCGGTTTCCTGACTCTGTCATCATCCGTCACCATCTCCGTACCCCAAGCTTTTCTTGAAGTCTGTATTCTTGACCGCAGGGCGCAATCCAGTATAGAGCAGTCATGGGATTTAGACATTTTGCTAAACTTTGGAAAGGGAATGAAAGGAATAAAGCCCCTTGCAACTGCGACAGCTGTAGTCTTGGGGCATGTTCGGAGAAGCGATGAGCCAGCGCTCTTGATTAACAAAGCCTCTCCTTTTTGGGGCTTTGGGGTTTTCGCTTGTCGAAGTGGTGGAAGCCACCGACAAAAAAGTCTCATTGCAGCGTGAGCGTGAGAGGTAGAAGAGGTTTTCATGGCTTTTCAGTCCAAATGGAGGTGCGAGTATCCTGGTGCCATGACTCACATATGCGCATATGTATATATATCGAAAACCAGCCGATAGATGAGGCTAAGTTGTCGATGGGCGAATGGAGTGAGTATAGGGGTGTGGCGGGGGGTGGTCACACAGCCAGCCCGGCCGGGTAGGGTGAACCCAGAGCCTGGTGAGGGAGAGCGAAAAATAAGAGGCGGTCCGGAAAGCAGTAAAAATGGAGTCTGGTGATGCGAGCGATGCACTTGACGCCGAAGAGTGCATCATTAGCGTCAATCGCTCGACTCCGACTTGAGTATAAGGGGTCCTGCAGAAACTCCAGGCTTGGCCTTTGGCAAGCATTTTGCCTTCCCATGCATGTCTGCTTCAGGAGGCTGGCTTTCGTCCCTCCTTTCTCAGGTATATGTATTTACAATATTATGAAATACTCATATTGTTTGTTGAACTGGCCTCTGTGAACCACTCCACTCTGGTCAGGGGCTCCTCCCCCCCAAGCTGCAGGACAGCTCAAAAGCCTTCAGCCTCGCAGGCTTCATGGTTTCCTGGCATCCAACGACAGCAGGGGGGTGGTTTGGTCGAACGGTGGTGCCGTTTGTGTGTTACAACTCCCCAAAATATAAGTTCTGGCGGCTACTTGCGCCATTACAAGCGCGAATTGTTCCACAGATGACAGAGTGGCCTGCGCCACTCGGGTGATCCCTTCTGTTCACACCCCGTCACCAGTGCCATGTGTGGGGTGATCGCCTCCCATGGCCGCTCGTTCCGCCCAGGCTTGGATGTGGAACGTGTAGCTTCCGGGTAGAAAGCCGATCCGCTCGTTCCGACCATCCCGGGAGCCGATGCAGAGGAGTGAGCCGCGTTGTGCGAACAACACGAGCGAACGCCGTGCGCCAAGCGTGCGCCAAGCGTGCGGAGTCAACTGCTCGGAGCGGCCTGGCTGAACAGGAATGGAATGTTCAGAGCCGAGGAAGAAATGCCATTTGGAGGATCATGGACATTCGTGGCCAGGACGGTTGGCCAGGCCGCCCGAAAGCGGGCCTTGCTGTTCACCAAGTGACAGCGATGCGAGACATCTTGAGATGAAAAAGGGATGCGCGCCACTTTTGGGTCTTGGCTGAGTGAAGAGGCCCGAGTTGAAGGCAGAAGTCGAAATATCCCGACCCAAGGAGCACGTGCAGTCTTCTAGTTCTGCTCTTGTAGTCGAAGTGGAAACAAGAAGACGAAGAGCACATTTAAGGGAGGGTCATGGAGGATTCATACCTGACTTTATACAAGCAACACGTTCGATTCTATAATGGATATGTTCTTTTGCACATTCGTAGGTCGTAGGTTGAATGTTGGATTGCTGGAGTGATCCGAGGGGGGGGGGCGATGGGAGACAGCGCATCCTTCAAGGACAAGTTGTCCTCTACACTTGGCTTCTCAGTAGAAACATGTATAAAGTCAGAGTGCCTCGAAACCATTCGAACCCGCTTGTTTTTAGAACGGACACTTTTGAGACATCTGGAAATCCACAGGGTTGTTTGTCATCCACAATTCTGTAAAACAATGTTTGTCTTTTTTTCTTAGGGTGTACGGTGTTTCGGCCTAGAGTCTAGAGAATGGTTTTTGGATGGTTTGACCACTTCCAGTGTTTGGAGGTGGGGGAGACATACTATAGCACACACATACATACTATAGCTTCGTTGTGAATAGATCTGAGTGTCGCAACATCACCCAGTGGCGCGCCAGGTCCGTGGCGTCGATTTTGAGCCGAATACGTTCCCGGTGCGTTGCCCAGTAAAAGGTGGAGTGCGGAAAGAGGAGGATCGTGCGCAGGTTTGGGAAAGCAGGTGGGCAGAGTCCTGATGTGGGGGGACTGGAGAACATTTCGGGGCACTCTCAGGACATGAAGGGTTTCGGGGATTTGGACCCTGATGAGAACCATGGATATCTTGGCTCTGGCGACTTTTGCAATTGCTGTATCCTTTGCTGTATGATTGGCCCTTTTCCGGGAGCCTTTTCCAGCTAGTTTAGTTTCTGGCTAACTGGCCAGGAGTTTCTGGATTTTGCAGACTTGAACCCAAGTGGGCAGTGAAATAGTGAACGTATGTGAACGTTGCGACTTGCATGTTCTCGTCATCGACATTGACGCTCAGTTTGTCCGACCGCTCGAGACTGCGGAGCGAGCTGCGTCGAGACTGCGTCGAGACCGTCGAGCGAATTGGGAGAGCTGAAACCGGAATTGAGACATTTGGTTCCCACAAAAGCAATTGCATTTGCGCGATCTCAAGAGCGATGAATGCTTGGAGACCCACACAAGTGGTGTCAAATTTGTGATTCGTCCTGGTCGTGTCACTTTAATGCTTTTTCAAACCTGCCTGGGATTTGAAAGGCATCCCAGACAGATCAAGAATGATCCCCCTTTCGTGAGGCATCCCAACCTTTGCAAGAGAGGTTGGGTTGATACGCTGGCCACCTGGGCCCAGGTAGGTGGCCAGCACATCGGGCGCCCACTCGGATTTGGTGCGTGGGGAATGTTCCACGCGCCAAAATCGGGGGTCTTTGAAGTCACAAAAAAGAATGGCCAATGGGGGTCTTGGAGCCCAAACAGCTAGACGTTAGAACCGAGGGAACCCACGCTTTTAGGATTTGCCATGGAATTTGTCGCCTCGAGGTGTCAAGAAACAGTGAGTACTGGAAGAGCACGAGTGGCACGATTGATCGCTCAGGCGAGTCGCGGGGTTTGGGTTTCAGAGCTGCGACATTCGAGCAGCCAAGTCCTGCGACCCCAAAAAGCTTCATTTCATCTCATTCAGTCCCTGACCAGGAACCTCCATGTCCATGATTTTTTCCATGATGAGAGATCCACATCTGAAAATCGATCTTCCGTTTTGGGAGCGAAGCCTCCCAGCTTTCAAAGTCCAATCATGTGAGTCATGGCAGCCTCTACTGGCGATGTTTTTGGGCGTTGGTTGTCTCGGGCGCACAGTATTGCGGGGGTGCTCACCGTTTCACCCGGAGATTTGCCAGCAGAGATATGTGGCAGATCGATTGCACAGCTTGATACGTGGCAACAGAACTCTTCCGACAGCTGAACTCGATGAATTTTCGGTGATTCCTTCTTCTCAATGGACATTCTGCATGACCGACATGGCGTAACGATGGCCGACCCGTTCTGCTGGTCCCAGCTGCTCGACCCGATGGAGCGCTCGGAGCGCTGGGGAACAGCCCGTTCTGCTCGTCCGATGTCGACCGGTCGATGTCTCGTCAGGTGGCCAGATTGGAAGCGGGACAAGAGGACTTGTCAGTTGGAAAAAAGGGGACAGGTGCCTGGATTTGTTTGGCCAGGCGGCCAGGCCACAAGATGTGGCAGAAAAAGACTGCGAACAGTGAAATGTGCGGACGGTCCAATCAATTCTGAAGATATGAAAAGATGTCTATTCACAATGAGATGATTTATTGAGATGTCTATCCACAGGAAGATGCCTGTCTTACACGAGTGAGATGTTTGTTTCAGCCTTGAAGAGTCAGTGAACCCTCCCCGTCTCTACATAGCTTGGCTTTGTTGCTCTTTTCAGGACGAATGTGCAGTCACAGGTAACTTCGGACGAACCCTGAAGCCCTTTGCCCGGAGTCGTGCCGTTGGGGGAAAGGAAACAGGTCAGACAAGTGGGGGGTTGACGGATGCGCATCATGTCTCTACCTGTTTATGAAGTAAAGCATTTGGTATCGATTTCACTTTGAAGCAGATGTAGAATGTGCGACAAGAGCCTTTGGGAAGATGGTTTCATGTTCTTGTAGTGGTAGCTGCGGAAGGTACATGTCAGTGTCACTTTCTGCAACTTGAACTGAGCAGGAGTCTGCATACACGCACAATCATCCACGCACAATCATACACGCATGCCGAGAGCTAGAGAGCTAGAGTGTAGGAAGTGCCTGTAAGTTGCCAAGGCAGACATTACTTTCAAAACAACACCTTGGTTTAAGGTCTGCGCCGTCGACTAAATGCTTGGAGCCAAATGGCTCATGAATGACACTGAGGCCATTATGCCCAGTGTCGCACTGCCCCATTGAGGACAGCAGACAGCATAGTACCACAAAGAGTTGATAGGCCTGGCCTGATGGCAAGCTCCGAGTCAAGGTCCACCGCGGGCTACAAAGCTCAAAGGCATCAATTCGCAAACCCATGTCCCGCGTTGGGTCCATTCCATGTCCGCGGAGCTCTTCGACCTTCACTCGTCCATCCGAGCCTGGCAGGAAGCAGCGATTGGGAAGGACTGTCATCATATCCAGGTCTTCGACCTTCACTCGTCCGCCCCCGGGACGACGGAGATGATCGGCGGGGGAGGGACACGAGCCAGGTGTGAGCTGTGGTCTCATCGACTCAGCCTCGGCGACTTCGGTCATCGACCAGCTGTGGTCTCCGAGAAGTGTCTGTGGCGCTCCGCTATGTGCTCTGCGACTGCCAGGTATATAGCTGTGAATCAGAGGATGAGATCACTCGACAAGCGTTGGACATGTCCAGCAAGATGCTCAGCAGTCCAGTGAACAAGATATCCTGCAGATGTCTTTTCCAAGCGAGTCCAGTAGTTGGCTTCTGGGCTTGTGGAAGGTTCCTGTTCGATGATCTTCAAGATACACGGAGTATCACGGAGTTCAGGAGATTGTTGTAGCGTTGTATAATGACCATGAGATGGGGTGATGTTGGAACTTGGGACTCGTCAAGGAACATCTCAGGAACATCATTTGGAACTTGGGACTCGTCTTCTGCGTCTGCTTCCCTGATTTGGGGGGCTTGATAAGGTATGTGGTTCGCCTTTGAGACCGGATGATGTGGTGCTACACCCTTTTGCTCAGGCACTTTGGCTTTCACACAAGTCAAGAGACTGAAAAGAAGACAGCCATGAACACCTAAATTAATCACGGCATGCAATGACCGATAGCTTCGAAATCCATCCGAATTAGATGGCCTTCATTTGGGCCTTTTCGGCTCACCACAGGATGGTGCCTGTCGCCTGTCGCCTGTCGCCGTGACTGCCTCCCCAATCCTCAGCTCTCCAGGGTATCCTTGACACGTTGCGTGGAGATGAAGACACTGTGGAAGCGATCGTCTTCAACGAGGACGAGCCGAGCCATTCGCCACGGAACACTGAGCCGAGCCTTTTCGACCGACGCGGAACACCTCGCATCTTGCGATGTCCAGGACTGCTCGTGGTCGACGATCTCAGCGGTCAAGGCCGGGCCCGTCGCCACCGCGGTGAGACGTCCACCGGTCAGTCACGGTGTGAACCTCCCGTCTTTCCAGGATGAGAAGGGCCGAGGTGCTGAGGGTGAGACCGAGGAGGTGCGGTGGAGCGGGATGAAAGTGGATTCTTTCAGAATCATTCTGATTCATCTATTGATGTTCTTGTTTGTGATTGAGCGCTTTTTGCAAGCCCCTAGGCCCTTGCCGTTCTTCGAAAAGAGCATGAAGAACATGGTATTGTACGAACAGTTCAGAGACCTTTGAGGGGACACCAGCCGTACGACGTGCACGGCCGGTGCCAGGGTGGCGCCCGGGCCGAGATGATCGACCTGTCGGCCGCCGAAAGGGGTGACAAGGGGCATAGGACAATGCCTGAATATGGTACTAGTAGCGTCCTTGCTCCTAGTAGCGATTCCAGGAGCTACCAGTAGCTTCTTGCTACTAGTAGCTTCTTGCTCCTCGACAGACCTGGGAAGTGCGGATTCCTTTGACCCAGGTCGGATTCAGAGTGATGGAATGCTCTGGAGCAATGCCTGAGACCTTTGCAAGGCCAAAGCAACAAGCGTCAGGTTTTGCTGGAAGGTGAGATCGCACCAATCGATAAGAGATGATGCCCCAAATTGGATCCGGTAGCCAACTAAGCTGCTTCAAGTTGCTGTGAGATCCCCAGCCACTAACCCTTTTGTTTTGATGGATTCCCGCTCTGGCCCAGAGATGTTTTTGGCCAACATGACTCAGATTGGACGACACATACTTCACCCTACAGCACTGGGGAAAAAGAACGTCACTTGTTTTCTTCGAGCCTTCATTCCTTCGGGCATCACACCGATGGTGTTCTTTCGCCTCACCGATGATGGCGAGAACCGCACGAAGCCGAAGCCCGTCCGAGTCCGAAGACGTCGTCCGAAGACGTCCTTTCGTGAGCCCATGCCCAGCTGCCCATGCTTTGGTTGGGAGACGTCCTTTGGTGGTTCTTTTGACCTTAGGAACCTGGGAGCCCTCTTGTGAGATGGTGTTTTGACTGAGATGGAGAAAACAGACTCCGGGCGGAACAGCGAGAGGTGGCGGCTAGCAACCAGTCACCCGGGTCATTTGTCCTAGAAAGAGTTGCAACACGGCAGTGAGAATGGGTTCATGATGTATATGAACTTGAGATGAATGCGGGTCTGATCTTTGGTACCAGTTTGCCAAGCCGCTTTCGGATCTTCATTTTCACCTTGGGATTTCAGGAGCAGTGGTGACTATAACAGTAGTAGTGACTGGCGTATTCAGCCTCATCCGGAGTGTGTCAACTGAAGGAGTCTTTGAACGATGCAGACTCATATGCTTTCATGCGAACGAGTGGACCGGAAGACGATCGGGTGGACGTGGCGGAAGATGGTCATATGGCCATGCAGCGCGGTTCCGCATGGAGACAACGCAAGGAGCAAAAGTGATGTGCTTTGACGAGGATTCCGGCGATCAGGAAAGTACAGGGTAGGAAGGTGTGTCTCCATTTGTGGTATCTGGTGATCGAACAGCTCCAGAACTCCTGCTGCGCAACTAACTTATGACTACTGAATATACTAACAGGCAAGGACTAGTTCAAGGCACGAGGCACTTCTAAGATTTATAGAAATGTCAAGCCCACAGGCACTTGACAACTTGAGAGATCGCGACAAATTGCTGGGTGCCTTTTTTGTTTTGTGAGCCGTTCGACCAGATCCATGATGAGCCTGATCAGTTCTGCATGGATCCACCGCCGTTTGCGGCCCCAGTGCCAATGCTGAAGTTCTCACAGGTTTGAATACTCATGGTTTTGAATATGGACTGATCAACAAAATCATTATTCCTTATGTCCACATCAAGATCAAACTTTGGGGGATGCGAACCAAGAGGACTTCTGGCCAGCCATGGAACTCGACGATTTGAACGCGGCGATTTCTGGATTTCAGGATGGTTCTGTTCTAAGCGCACAGGAGAAAGCACAGTTTGTGCTGGCCGGTTTTGTGAAGGCCAGACGCTGTCCAAAGCATCAGATATGACCTGTATAACCTGTCATGTGGCAAAAGTCTTATTGCTGCACTTGATGGCTCATCCTGTTTTGTAGGCTCTTCCCCAACAGCCAAGCTGAGGGGTCTTCAGCAGCAAAGACTTCCTAAGAAAACACCCGCAGCAGGTTTGGAGCAGGTTCTGAAGGTTTCTGGAGCAAGGTCCGGGAGCAGGTTCCGGAGTTCGGAGCAGGTTCCGGGGCAGGTTCCATCAGTTCCCGGAGCCGCCTCCGTCCACAGACACAAAGGTCTGGCATGCGGGTAGGTGACATTGGCGCAAGGCTGACATGTCATCATGCTGGCGTTGGTGTGCGCTGTCATGTCGTGCTGATGTCATGCTGATGTGCGGTTCTTAGCTGATGTGCTACCGTTTTGCCATGCTGACGTGCTGTGATACGCTGACGTGGTGTCTTGATGGCGTGTTGTGCATAATGTCACCATGCGGACGTGCAAGCCGCAAACATGTTGTCAGGCAGATATGCTGGCATGGTGTCACACCGACATGTTGTCATGATGTCCTGCTGATTTGCTGTCAGGCCGTCATGCTGTCATGCTGGCATGCTGACATGAGTCACGTTGTCACGCTAGATGTTCACAGTCGGGTCATGCTGTCGCGCTGACATGCTGGCAGGCCCCAGGGCTTTGTCATGCTTGCACATGTGTGGACACATGTCCAGCATTGCCGTGTTTTGTTCCTTGAACTTGCCAGTGCCTGATGGGCAGATTCATGCTCAGGTGGTTTATTCTGTTTCCTTCTTTTCCCTCACTGCATCAACCCTGATGCTGTGAGATCTAGGTGTCCCGAGCCGCGGCCGCCCCGAGCCGCTGCCGCCAGGTGCGCCGGGCGCTGTCCGCCGCGGCGGTCTCGGCCGCCGGGCGAGCGGTTTGGGCCGCGGCGGAGCGCCAGGAAGAGGGCACAGCGGCCGAGGGCGACGACGTGGGGTGGAGTGGGCGGCCGAGTGCCTGGGAACGAGGTGTGGAACAGCCGGGAACGAGGGTGGTGAATGTGTGGTGATCGTGTTGGATGGTTTCGAGTATGATTGGTGGTCAGTGGTGGGGTTTCCTGCTCCGAGGCTTGGTTGCGAAGAGGATTGGGAGTCGGATGAAGGTCGCGAAGGATGTTGGATGCGAGAAGTTGGTTTGCATAGGTTTGAACAGTTCAGTTGCATTGTTTTTGGGTGCGGGGATAGCTTGGCATAGCCTAGCAGAGCAGCGAGCGAGTACCAGCGAAAGCAACGATGGCCATCGTCGACAGCGCGCAGCCCTTGAGTCTCAGGCTCTGCATTAAATTGCCAGGTGATGTGATGATGAAGCAGCAGATTCCCAGTGATTTGCTGCAGAACGCATCTTCCTTGCAGCTCGGAGGTGAAGATAAGGATGTGGAAGCCTGATCGATCTGTTAATGGGAAGGACCCACACTGAACCATCTTCACCAACACTCTGTTGCTGGACCTTTGGAGCCCGTAGACCTGGCCTTTGACCGATCACCTCTCGCCGTTCGGGCGAGAACGCGCCCGACCAAGCCGACCGAGGCATGGGGCGTTGGATGATTTGCTGGGTCGGCGCTGGAGCATGGAAGGCTTAGAGGACCTGGGCTGGGTGACTTGGACACGGCTTTCAACGGCGGAGACGCCGTGTGGCGAGCGGCGTCAAGAGCGCGCGTCAAGAGCGCGTTTGGGTGACTCAAGTCTCCAAAGTGAAACACAATTGAGATCATTGAGCAGTAGCTTTCGGAGAGAAGCCATCGAGCATGTTTGTTTTGTCAAGCCCATGGCGCAAGGTTGCGGCGTCATTACCGCCCACTTCAGGGAGGTTTTTTCCTCCAATTCATGGTCTATATCGTATCGATAGTCCAGGAGACCCACGGCGGGCTAAGTACGTTGTTGCAGTGAGGAGTACTTTTCTCGACACGCATTCTACATTTTTGACAAGAAGTGTGATCTGTCCGACAACCATTTGAGTCTGCTGGCGACAAGCGCGCATTCCTTTTCTCGGCAAGGCGTTGCTGGCACTTGAGCACGGCAGGGTAACACTTACTTGACGACAAAAAAAAGCAAACTCCTATTTTTCTTTGGACCATAGGCTTCAAACGACTTGTTTGGAACATTTGCAGCTTTATGGCCTAAGTATGATGATGTGTTCAGTTGCCAGCATGGTCGGGTCACGTTTCCACCTGCTGAAACTCACCTGCTGAGGCGCCCATGCGCTTTCCGGCAGCGCGCCTGCGCTGCCAGCGCCCGAGTGCCAATGGGGCCTCTGGCTCTGGCTGGGGAGCAGTTCCTCAGTTTGGAGGAATTCGCCCATGGGCCTTGAAGGAGAAAACACCTCTAAAGCTCTGCCAAAGAGGATGGATTGCGAGGTGTGAATGGATTGCAGTCGAAATGTGGAAACCGAGGATTGAACTCAGACGGACGATATCAAGTGTTGGCATGGTCACTCCAAGGTTTTCTCAGTTTTCTCCATCCGCCAATGTGCCTACATGGATGATTTTAGTATCCAATGCCACACAGCTACAGTGGAGCTGAGCAAGAGTTTCGTGGAATCCAGATCAGGATTGCATGTCCGTCTTCTCCATCAACATGAAAGGGTGTGAATGGGCAACGTCATGCAGGTGATTTCCCACCATCTCCAATCATCAGTTGGACCAGACCATGCTGTTCCACATGGACCGCTGTTCCACCTTCGAAACACCCATCGAACACGCCGAACCAATGAGGTTACTTTTTCTGTGTTTTTCCAATGGGGGCGGTGTTCCCGAGGTGGAAGCGACTCGTGTGGAGGCGCCATGCCAATATCACTTGGATGGCTCCTGGTATCAGCATCATCTCTTTTGTCCACAACAAGCCATCATCGTCTGTGTGGTGCTCACGGACCCTTGACGGCCGGCTCCGGCTCCGGGCCATCGGTCCAAGAAAAGAATCGGCACTGTAGTGCAAGGGAAAAACGGGTCTTCTTGTAAGTCCAACTTCCTTGTTGAACTGTTTAATTTGTGAAAGACGTGTCTTCATGGTCTTCGTTGTTCGTGCGTTGGAGCATTTGGTGCCCACGAATTGGATGATCTTCCAGACGACACTCTTAAGACTTTACACTTGGGATGATGTCCGACGCTGAAGAGCGAGGACACCGCCTTGGGAGGTGCGGGCACCGCCGTGAAGTTGGCCTCGCATTTCTACATGGCTCAGTTGTTGGCAAGTGCGGGAGCTGCTGGGATGGACCACGCCAGCCTTTGCAGCGAAGCACAGGTGAGACAGAGAACTTGGGGTAGGTGGAAGTGATCGGAGGACAGGATAGATGTAGCTCAAAGAAGGGATAGTTTCCGAAAGGGATCAAAAGCACATGAATTCTGTGTTTTTTTCAATGTTCATTGTGCGAACGAGTACAATATCCTCCTGTCTTTAAGATTCGACGGATCTTCGCTTGAGAGAAAGCATCAGATGAAGTGTTCTTCATCTGATGTCGATGTCCTGCTTGCAGGCAATAGACGTCCAGCAGCACCCAGAGTATGAGATCTATTGTGGCTGGGTCCGATTTGGACTCGCTCGGACCGAATGGCGATGAAACCGATTGTGGCGATGGTTTCGTTCGGACCCGGACGTCGGATTCGATAGGGGTTTTAGTACGTCGGTTTCGTCGAATCTGTAAGAACTTCCACTTTGATTTGGAGGGACCCTGTTGGATGGTGGTGTTGTTTGAATGCAGTTCTTCTAGGTTTTGCTCGCTCCTGGCAGAGCTCTCAAGTCTAGTCAAAGCCAATGGATGCTTGTATATAACATCCAGAAGGGAGAAAGGTTGCTCCCTCCTTTGATTGGGGTTGTTGATTGCCCCATACTTCCATGTCTTTGTCCATTAAAGTTCGCAAGGCAATGCTGGGGATGTGCTGCTCCTACATCCACATTTGGCGCACAGCAGCACCACCAATGTTCGCTTTGGAAGCGATGTTCGCTTAGCTTTAACCAAGCGAGCCTATTGGGTCACAGGCCAGGTCTTTTTGTGTGTTGAAGATCGAGCAGATGCTGGTCCAAAACAGCAGATGCTACTGTTACACAAATGGAGCGCTGTCTTGTCGAGAAAAGTCTAGGCAGTTTCTAGTTTGGGTGGTTTTGAGGACAACAGTGTCTTTTCATTTTGGTGTTCGACCTACATAAAGAAGGGGATATATATACAGGGATGGTAGTATCAAAGCAGAGGAGAAAGTGAGTCATTTGTCTTCCTTGTGCAGTGATTTCAGGGGGTGCATGTCAACTGGTCCAACTGGTCCAGCAACTTCCAAAGACCTTTCATACAAAAAAACTATAGAACAAAAAACGAACAGCAGTTGTTCCAATCAACCAACCTGTTGCAATAAACCACCTTGTTCCTTTGTTCCAATCAACAGCAGAATTACTTCTACGTCACTGGGCCGACCGCTCTAGCAGCTCGGGGAACCGCTGGTGCAGGACCCAGCAGCTCCCTCGGCGGTTTCAGCGGCGTCGCACCGGTGGAGCTGCCGCTGTCGTGGGCGGTCGCGTCGACGAGGCGCGTCGACTTGGAAGGGCGTGCGTTGGACAGTCGCGTGTCAAATGATGGTTAAAATGTGGTTCAAATATGTTCAAATGATGTCCAAGTGCTTTCAGTGGTTAGAATGCCAAGAGCCTCAGGGAATGCCAGTAGATTCCAGTATATAGATCCCTTAAATAGTGGACAGCTCCCGCAAACGTCCCAGGCACAAAGATTTGCAAGGACTTCTTTCGAAACAGTGGGGTGTCCGTGCTGTTCGGCCCACAAGACTCTGCTTCTTACGTAAATTACTTGGACTGCAAGTGGGAAAGACCGTTTGGGGTCGCATCCCATCTTCACACAACAGCAAAGAATTGCGACCTATTGGCTGTTGCAGTGTAACTGCCCATTGGAAGACCCATTGGCTTTGGCCTTTCCCAATGGAGGCTCAGTGTCTGTTGTGAAAACATATGAAAACCCACCTTTGAGCTAGTAGTAGCTAGAAGCTACTAAGTAGCTAGAAGCTACTAGGGGCTCCTGGCATCGCTACTAGGAGCAAGGACGCTACGTTCGGGGCTCCTGGCCGTCCTACTAGGAGCAAGTAGCTACTAGTTACATGCGGAGCCTCCGCATTGGAGCCTCGCCCTCCTCCCCGCTCCGGCATCACAGGACGGAGCTGCCATGCCTGGTGCGCCGTGCGCAGGAGCTGCTGGCAGAGCGCGCGGATGCGTCGGTGCTGCCGTGGCTCGAGCTCCAGGAGCTGACCTTCGAGGCGAGGCTTGGCGCTCTCTCTCTCTCTCTCTCTTGCGGAGACCGGTTTTTGTTGAAGATCCTGGAGAACAAGGAAGATAGATACATGACTGGTAATTATATAGGATAGATTTGATACGTTCATAGATGCTTCATTGGGGCCTTCTCAAAAGTTCATCTCCTTTGTCTCAGACAAGGGACTTTGCGATTTGTCCTAGCTAGGTACATTCATGCTACTTTCTGAACTTACAATAGATGATTGTGCTTCCGTTGGGATTGATGTGTCTTGTCTCAAAAGCAGGGAAGCGTGGTGGAGTCCTGGAGAACCATTTTACATTTCTATAGAATATAGCAAATACCGAATACTCCATAAACGCTCGCTTCCCATCCTTGGAACACCTGTGCCCCGGAGATGAAAGAACGCCTGGAGGTACTCCAAGATTTTTCACATTGGCTTAAATTGGAGAAGCAACAAATTCCCCAGGATTTCTGTCGGAGATGTTCAGGATGACGCTTTTTCATTTCTTTGCTCTCCCCGCGTCCAACGTTGGCCTCATATCAACAACTCCAACCAGGCCTCCATTGGAACCTAGCATTGGACCGTGCGCCTCGGATGTTCTCCACGACGTCTCAACGTGAGGCTCGAGTTGCGACGGCGCAAGAGGTGGATGCTCGACTTGAGGCTGAGCAGCCAGCTGCGGCGCATGTCTATTCTGTTGTTGTGGAGAGTCGAAACAAGGAAGGAGCCAGGGTCAGAAGATACGTAATTACTTCCCCTAAAAATGCGTGGCATGTATAGGTAAATATGAATCAAAGATACATTTTCTCTGACTGAATCTTGTGGTCCTGTTCATCTCTGATCCACAGAAAGCCGCAAATCCCTCCAGGTGAGCATCTCTGAGTCAGATCTGGACCTGGGAGGCCTGCTATTGATGCCTCAGACTCTGGCGCAGCTGTGGAAGGCACCTGAAGGAACTGGGGTTCGGTGATGAGGAGTTCAATGAACTCACAAGCTGACTTTGGTTTGGTTGGTTTGGGTTAGAGTACAGTTCAGGAACTTCATGGAACTTCTTTGTAGACTGTATCTTTGTAACGCTTCGTGCAACGGGTAGGATGCCGGGTAGGGATCTTCTTTCCTATTCTTTCCACATCGCCTTTTCGACGTGTACAGCGGGGTCGGCGGCACACACCGGGGGTTGGCGGCAACGTGGCGGCCCCCCATACCTTCGGTTTTCCTTTGGTACGTTATGGCTGCGCTGCCCATTGTAGCGGGTGTGCCGTGTGGAACGGAGCACCTGAACGGAGCAGAAGCGTACGGTACGGTCCTATGAATTCCCGAGAGTTCCGGCTTCAGGTAGCCGCCATTAGATAGCTTTCTCCGCTACTTTTGCTCCATTGCAAGGAAAGGGCGCACCCGAAGATACCTGGCATTGGGAGAAGTGGATGAAAATAAATTTGGTTGCGGTTCCCATTTTGGATCCAGACTGTTTGAGGTCGCGGCTGGCAGAGCCACTCGGGGCGTTGGTGCCGGGGACCAAGTGAGTGTAGAACGGGACTTGAACTTCAGCAGCTGGATAGTCCCATGAGCTCACAGGATTGGGTTCTCATCTACAGGTTTTAGTTGACCGATTGTTAGGAGAAGTAGCTTTGGAATGCTTTGGATGACCTGAACTCGTTGACAAAGCCACACCTCCACATCACACGATGTTGGCAATTCTTCTGTTTAGGCTTTGAGTCTCGGCTTTGCACGATGTGGTTTGGGCCCAGCACCTTGGAGGGAAAGCGAGTTGCGCGGCTTTCCCCAAGGGTGCCACAGTCAAAGCTGGCATGTTTTTTTTTTTTCATGATCCGCTCCACGCCTTTCTTTGACATACCCAGGCAAGGGAAGGCACAAAGAACGGATCAGGGTGGAATCGAACCCCCAAGGATTTGGATGCCCAAGTCATGTCACGACTTCGGATCACAACGCCTGATCCATTAGGCAACTGATCCTCTGCAATGAAAAAGAATGCCCCTCAGTCAAGTTTTCTCGCCACGCACTCCATGACTGCCCAGCACCCAACTCTGACGGATTTGTCGGGTCTGAGGCTGGTAGCGTCGAGCTGGAGCGGTGCCTGGCAAAAACGCCATTGCCATTGAGAGCTCTCTTCTTGCAAGGCCTGACTTCATCGAGCATGTGGTGAAGGTATGGTGGTCACTGGCAAGACAGTCACAGTCCGGCCGTGCTCACGTGAAGTGACCGTCCGCGGCAACCAGAGGGGACAGTTCTGTGGCGATGTGGTCGTTTGTGTTGGAGGGTGGGAGATGCTGGTTGCACTGGCAACACGATCCAGAGAATCCTTTGATACGCAATGTTTTTCCTGAGTCCACCCCTCCAAGGCAATGCTATGGGTGATGGCGGTGTTGTGGGGTTGCTGGCACTCGCAGCAGACAGTCTACGCCACTGGGCTGCACCTTCCAGTGACATTGTTTTAAGGATGTTCACTGCTTATCAGTGCCATGTTTCATTTAAAACGGTGGCCATCATGTGTTTGATGTTTTTTTGGAAGCACTTGCACATGGAGCAAAGCCTCCACTGTCAACAATTCAGAGATCTTTTGAGGGTTCTGCATCAGTTTCTAGCTCCTCCGTCAAATCATGGAAGCAGCCCGACATGCCCAAGCCAGGACAGACCGATCGGGCGACCGTTGGTGACCGATCGAGCGAGGTGCCTTGGAGACCTTGTCCTTGAGCTCCAACGAGCTCAGCGAGACCAGCGTGGAGGCGCTGGCCGACGCCTTGGGGGTCGGCTCCTTGTCGGGGCTCCCCAGACAGATGCGTTCGGCACTGCGGAAACGTGGCGCAGAGCGTTGAATTGAGGGGGTGCACAGATCCTTTTTCAAAGGAGCAATCAAAAGCTTTGAAAGGCCTTGATTATTGATGGTTGATGGTTGAGGTGTACATACACTGTGTTCCTCTAGCATCCTTTAAGATCGATGCATAATGATGATCAATGATTCAATGATCATCTACTGGTCCCATGATTGATGGAATATGTGGAAACAAACGACGTACAGTGTGCAACCCGTACTGTATCATATTCTGAATTTGCAGCTGTTCTTTTTTTTGCAGTGCTTCGCATCCTCCCGCAAGGGAGTGCAGAATTCCTTGCAGAATCCAACTGCAGGAAGTCGTAGCTTTTCCAGAAACCCACGCTGATTCTAGATCTGTTTTCTTGATGCATTTAAGGCTTAACACACCAATCATGATTGATGCGTTGCCATTGTGTTTTCATGTTGGACATCACTTCTTTTTTTTCCAGTGATACATTTATTTATAGGACCTTAGAAGTCTGGGGGAAAGGTGTCGTTTGACAACGGTTGCACAAACAGCCAAGTGCTTTTGCCATCAGTAATTTGGAAATAACATGAAATAAATGCACATGGGATTGCAGGTGGTGAACAATTTGAAGCTGTTTTTCTCATGGGGGAAAGGTAAACATGAGGGAAACCGTCAGTGGATTAGCTTTGGGGATCATCCGATAGAATTGGAACGATGCAGAGAAGATGAGCATAGCCTTTTTGGGACTTCTGGACTTAATTTTTGAAACCTACGTTTGCAGTGTAGGCTGTACAAAAGATGTGCCAAAGCGAGGACCTTAATTAGCTCGGTGCTGCAGGGCTGCTGGTGTAGGCTGATTCGCTGCTTCGCGATGTGACCGATCGCAGCGATCAAGTCCTGCATCCTTTGATGTTTGGTGAAACTGAACCATACTGACCCCGTTATGTTGAGTATACCCTGGGAACAGTGACCACACCAGCGTTTTGTTCTTTGCACGGCTTGTGTGGTTCATTAGCCGAGAGCTAACATGAATGATGTTTTCTGCTCAAGCAGAGGATTGTGCGAAGCTTTCACTCGCGGTCACTTCTGCATCATGTTGGGAGGGTTGTACCCGGCGGAGCAGGGAACCCTGAAGCGTTTGATGGAAAAGAAGATGACCGAAGGCCATGAGAGTTTCAACGACACGGAGAAGGAATCCTATGGACGCTTGATCGTAAAAGCCGAGCAGTGGGAGGTGAAAGAGCTTCAAGATGAACTGAAGCAGGAGTTAAATGCCAGCCAAAAGGACGAGGAGGTTCCTCCCGTTGAGCTTCAGGCTGAGAGTGCAAAGCAGAGTGTTTGTGGAGAGTGTTCAATCCTTTAAAGGTGACAGCCGGGTTAGTTTCGCCTCATTCGTTTCACGCGAACTTTGTAAATTAATTCGTCCAATTTCGCTGGTCATGGGAACCTCTGAGACTGCAGGCAAAATGAGAGACCTGGGACCGACCGTTCCGCCGTTCCGCCGTTCCGTGCTGGGACGCCCCGAAGTCAGGCACCGCCCAGCACCGGCCCAAGAACCGGTCGGCCGAATCGGTCTGGCCGAATCGAACGAAGCACACCACCGCAGTGGCTCTCGGACCACCCGGAAGTGACACGGACACCGCCGCGGACGACCCAGGTTCGACGGGTTCCGACCTATTTTGTTGAGGGAAGGACCGACTCGGGTCGGGTGGTCAGAGCAGCTGATTGTTCCACTGGCCTCCGAGACGATCTACTGCGTCATCCGAATGACGCTGGAGAACTGACCAACCCACCGTGTGTCCAGTCGAGCCGTGAGGGGCGAACTGCACATCACTCCACCACTCAGGCGCTGGCTGAAGCTCAACCAGAACCGTCACCTGGGCCAATCAGGCGCGCCCGAGTCACCAAGAGAGAGAGTCGAGTGGGTCAACAGCCGTCCCCATCGTTTTTTCTTTTTGCTTGAGAACTACCAAACGGTACACTGTCTTAGGGTCGACAGAGTCCACACCTTTCCGACATTCCCTCGAACAACAAGACCCAATCCCTCAACTTCCTCTTCTCGTTCTGTGTCGTAGTTGATGCTTGGAGTGTTTCCGTGTGTTTCTGGACCTCCCGGTCGTTCGTCCCGCCCTCCACGGTCGTCCCTTCGGTCCCTTCGTCCCGATCCTCGCGGTCCCAGGCGCCACCGGGTTGGCGCGGCTGACGCGGCTGGAACGGCTGGAGCTCCGGTGCTGTCCATTGAAGGCCGGAATTGAAAGTAGTTGGTGTGAAAGATGTCTTAAAGGGAGTTTTTTTTTGTTTTGATAGCTGAAAAACAAGTTCTTTCAAAGTCTTATTGAAGATAGATGCCTCTGGTTTTGATGGTTTATGATGACATCATGACAACATATGACAACGATGTGTTCATCGGCCAAGATCCAAAATTCTCAGATGATGAAAACGAGTTTTGGACTTGCGCCGAAATCAGTAGCTGGGGCCGGTTATAATATACTGTAACTGCTTCCTGAAAGAATGCAGTGTGAGGAACTCGGGAAAGCCCTTTTTGTTGATCATCCATCATCCCATGTCAGCGTTCAACAGGATGCTGGCCTTGACGCACTTCTTGAGAAGTTGGAGAGCTCGCGATTGCAGGCTGGATCTCTTTGGGTGAAACAACTTGCCGGGTATGGAAACTCTTCTAGACTCCTACGGAACGAATGATCAATAGGCCGAAGACACCATCTATACAATACCTTTTGCCTCCTCCATCTGTCGACCCTGACCACCCACTCTGAAGAGCCTTCAGAGCCTTCGGCCTTCAAAGAGCCCCACCCCCATAACCGCACAGAGCGAGGCCTTGGACCTGGAGCGCACGCGCCTGACGGATGCGGCGGCCGTGGCCCTGGCGGAGTCCGCGCGCCGGGCGCGGAGCCACAGAGCGACCGTGGAGTGGGGGCGGGCCGTTAGGTGAAGAAGTGGACATGGAAGTAGGGAAGGTCTCACAAGATCATATAAAATCCCATAGAGTCCCAAGAACCATCGCAGTGGCATGCGGCATGCAGTATGGCATGCAGTGGCGACCCTGGGCGACCCGCGCATCTGCGCGGCAGGCGCTTCCGGACCTGGTGGCCCTGTCCTTGCGCGCCTGCCAGCTGACGGATCGTGGCGCCGCACCGCTGCTTGCGGCCCTGTGGAGTGGATTGAGGCGCTTTCAGAAGCCCTTCGGCCTCAAGTGGTGCGGTCCCAGTCGCCCCCATAGGCCCTGACAGGTCTGTAAGTGTTTCGAGTTTCGCCTAACATTTCGAGGTGCAGAAGGGCCAGCAGGGCACATGGCTCGAAAGAGTTTTGGACCGATAGGTGACACTGGTGAGGGGAGCCTTTTTGGATTTGTGATTTCAGCTGCTGCCTCCGCACGGCTTCTACATACCTCGAGGGGGCTTGTGGGGTCTGCACCCAGATGGGGCTTGTGCGTTTCCCTCAGTGGCAAAAACCTTCCAGAAGCCAGAAAAACCACGAAAACCCCTCCCGATGTTTCCATGGAATTTTCCCGATCTCAAGATGAAATTCAGAGCCTGCAGAGCTCAGTCAGTCGAACAAAGTCAGTCGCAACGTCTCGAAAGCCGCCACGTCTATGGGGTTTACAGACACCTCTAAAGGCTTGGCCAAAGGAATTTGAAGTTCTGAGGCTTGATCTTGGCCGGAACTTGGTGGGAGATCCCACGGTCGAGGCCTTTGCAGAGCTTGTGCCATCTTTCTATCTTCAAGGTGCGGAGGGATCGTTTCATCTCGCAGATTGCAAATCGCTTGGGTTTTTGTCCAATTGTGACATCAGTGACATCAGCTGAAGAAGAAGCATCAAACTTGACTTCCAGCATTTTTGCAGCTCGTGGCTTCACCTAATCTCTCCTCCACATTCTTTGGACTCCACCTTCCCCAGGAGTCACTGGTCCCGCGCGTGCGGTGGAGTTGCTTCTGGGCACGAACCAGGTCACCGACCGAGGAGTGCAACGCTTGGTCCAGGCCTTCGACTCCAACGCGAACGACGCGAACGGTGTGAAGGTGCTCAACTTCACCAGCGGCTTGGCGCAGCGCCGGAGCCGCGCGCTGCGCAAACCACTGGGAAAGTGGTTAGACCGAGAAGAGGAGGTGCAAGTGGATGTAGTTGTGGAATTTAGCGTCAAAATTCAGAATCCAGATTCAACATGATAGAAACAGAGTGTTTCTGGCAGATCTCGAATATTCTGGGTTGATTGTGTTTCAACGCCCGCCGGAATGGAGTCAAATCCCTGGATTGCCTGCATTGCGCATGGTACAAGGGGGATTTGTGAGAAGCCTCAAACTCCCACAGTCCCACCCAAGAAAAATTAACACCTCCACCTCAGGATCCATTGCCCAGAATTGGATGAGGATATGACCAGAGCCACTCCTGCTAAGGCAATCGTTTGACCTCTCAGTCGCTACTCTGTGTCACAGAGTTCTTGGAGAAGTGTTCTTTCAGAAAGGTGCTGCCAGTCGAAGAGTTGGATCTCACTTACAACGATACTTCAGAAGCTTGGCTAGGGATAATTTGAAACCTAGAAATGGGAAGAGAAGAGGGATGATGGTGCGACGGCGTCCTCGATTTTTTGGGTCAGTTCATGTGAAAAGGAGCATCAGTTCATCCTAAACACCGATGGTTCTCGGATGGTGGAACCAGATTCTTTGCCACCAGGGCAGAAAGAATCCATAGGGCATAGGGCATAGGACAAGTTCCCGTTCACTGGGGACAAGGTCTTGTTCACATACATGGTGATATATATATATATATATATATATTAATATCTGGGTGAATGATCTGATGATTCATCCACTTCGATTCAGGTCGACTCGGTGGCCGCCTTCCGTGCCGCGGTGCTCCGACTGGGCCAGTCCTTGGGCCGCTCCCTCGCGTGGAGTGCTGGATGTGGATGAGACGGAGTCTCGACGACGCAGACGAGAAATGCTCGCGTTTGGACCACGACGTGAAGCTTTTTCAAGGGGGAGGGAGAAGCAATGGATGAAGCATGGGAGGAATTGGATGGAATGGGATGAAGTTCTTGAAGAGTTCCTTCAACTCGATCAGATGCCTAAAGTTCTGGGGGGGCTTCACGCTGGAACGGTGGATGTTCACGCAGTGGAACGCAGGGACGCCGGGAACGGTGCGGCTGCTTCAGATGGACGGTGGATGGCTGTGGTGCCTCACGTCTCATGGTGCTTGGGCTGATTCAAGTTCAATTCATCGGATGTTGATGTGCGGTGGCATGGCTTCGCAGCGGTCCTTCGTCGGTGACTCGGACACCAACGAGGTAGTGGGTCTTAGTGGGTCTTGGAGTCTTGTTGACACTTTGTGAGTTTTGTGGAAGTGTACTTCCTGCCTCTCAGGTAGATTTGAATTCTACAATCTTCTAGTCCTACACGCTTGCAGCAGAAGTTGGTCGAGGAGTCTGAGCAGATTGCATGTTTGTGTCTGTACTGGTTCTCTTTCATCCTTTGTTTATACCGGAGGTAACAGCCTGATTGTAGCAGCCTGATGTAGAGGATAGGTCGGTTCGTTCAACTGACATTGTATGACATTGTGGTGCTGAGTGTTCAACACAGATTTGGAAGTAGAGGTCCTGCAGGGGTCTTGGGGGATGTTGCTTCAAGGAGATTCCGCTCATCATCTTCGCAGGTGTTCAGTGACGACCCAAAGAGGTCATGGCAGGACAAGACCGGAGGAAAGAGTTTGTACCATACTGCTGCCTGTGTTGTATTGCTTAAGCCTTTGATCTTGTCTTTGCACAAGCTTGCATTGTCATGCATTCTCCATGCTCATCGCCCGTTCCGGCAGCCAATCTGAGCCTCTGCATGAGTGTCCAGCGCAACGAAGAACATATGCTTTTGGTAAGATGCCTTGGACCTCCTTCCAACAAAGCGGTATGCCTGTTTTGCGGCCGAAGTCACACCCGAAGATCACCCACGTCATGGAAGGCTGCCTTGGTAGCCTTCCACCAGCAGCGGAAGCGTAATGGCGTAATGCCCTGCCTCAGTAGTTGTTTGTCGATTTCCACCACACAATCGAAGTTATGGGGCTGGCGGTCTCGATGGATGTCGCCTCGGCATGGCTCGCTTCCCAGAGCTGACAAGCAGTGTCAGAACCGAAATGCAAAGCCGTGCTCGGTGGAACGCGCTTCGGTGTTTGCATTGGACTTGTTAAATCATGTTAAACCTATGTTTGCAGTAAGAACACGTCAGATAATTTAAGGTACACACATTCTCAATATGGTTCAAGTAAAGCATTTTTTGGTTGCTTGATTCCTTTTGCCTTCTGTCCTATTCCTTGGTCCTTTGCAACTAGTTGGACCAAATGAAAGCAAACGAGACTTTGCCATATTAAGAGATGAAGTCATGAAGTCTGCATAATTGAGAGTTTCTATTCCAGCTGCACCACTGCACCGACGTGATGCCAAATCCAGGCTAGGGAGTACTTCATGAAGATACAAGTTCAAATGACTTGGGGGGGGTAGGAGCAGGAAGCTACTAGGGGCTCCTGGCATCGCTACGTGGAGCAGCTCCTGGCCTTACTACTAGGAACAAGGAGTTATTAGAACCAAAAATTAGCCCAGCTGGAGACCCCAATAGCAAGATACAAACCGGGACAAAAAGAAAATCTCGAAACAGCTGCTGTTTTCAACACATCGACCATCTCTTCCTTGGACACCATCATCACATAACCGGGACACCATCACAAAATGACCAGGGCACCATCAAAACATGACCGAGACACCGTCACAACATGATTGGGACACCATCACAACATAACCGGGACACCATCACAAGGTGACCGGGACACCAGCATGACATGACGGGGACACCATCACAACATGACCGGGACACTATCACAACATGACCGGGACACCGTCACATGACCCGGACACCATCAAAACATAACCGGCACACCGCCAAAACATGACCAGGACACCATCACAACATGACCGGGACACCATCAAAACATGACCGGGACACCGTCACAACATGAGCGAGACACCATCACAACATGACTGGGACACCGTCACAACATGACTGGGACACAATCACAACATGACCGGGACACCATCACAAGGTGACCGGGACACCAACATGACATGACGGGAAAACCATCACAAGATGACCAGGACACCATCACAACATGACCGGGACACCGTCACATGACCCGGACACCATCAAAACATAACCGGCACACCGCCAAAACATGACCAGGACACCATCACAACAGGACCGGACACCATCAAAACATGACCGGGACACCGTCACAACACGACCGGGACACCATCAAAACATGACCGGGACACCATCACAACATGACCGGGACACCATCAAAACATGACCGGGACACCATCAAAACAGGACCAGGACACCATCACAACATGACTGGGTCACATTCAAAACATGATCGGGACACCATCAAAACATGACCGGGACACCAGCATCACATGATCCGGACGCCATCAAAACATGACCGGGACACCATCCGCCCACCAGCTCTGACGGTGACCCGACGGCGCCCGTCCGCCTATTAGTTTTGCAAGACCCCATAGCATGGCTATTGGGGAAATAAGTAATTTTGAGGATGTCCACTGGGCCTCCCAGGTGCGGCCCCCCGGTCTCGCGGGCCTCCGCGCGCGGCTCCGCGCGTGCCCCTGCGCGCGGCTCCGCCGCCTCGGCCCGGCCGGCACCGGAAGCTCCGTTCAGGCAGGCGGCCTCAGTCAGGAGTCCAATTTTTCAAACGAGAAGCGGAAAAAGACCCAGATCAAAGAGGGAACCCTTCAAGAACTGTTCCTTTGAGGCCCAGCGCGACCCTCACGGGCCTCGTGGCCTTCAGCGGCCTTTCGGGGGCGAGGCGAAGACTTGGAGCTGCGACCGGCACGTGGTCGGAGGGTTTGGCAGAAATGGCACTCGTTTTTTTTCAATCTTTTTCAGCAGGTGCCAAGAGATGTTCAGTTCCTCCAAGTTGGACATCATCATACACCATCTCTATACTCTGTACTTCACTAGCATGGGAGCCGGAAGATGACCCCAATCGGCAATGTTACATGTTCGATGGGCCCCTGGGTCGTGTTCTTCCGCCAGGATGGCCAGGAGGGGGGCGAGAAGCGCTTGCCGGGCTGAGCCCAAACCGCAAGGATCGGGGTTGAGACAGAGGGATCAGGTAGACTGAACTTGGCTTAAATCTATGAAGAATCCACAGGACTTCACAGCCATGCTCTGAATGAATCCTGACATATTTATCATTATATGATGATGTACCCTGGGAACCCCCATAATTCAAAGACCATAAAGAGAATGGTCATTGTGACCTGAAAGGGACGTCCTTTGCTTGAATGGGTCAAAACATTGTGTTTGGACTTCTAGACATTTGATCATAATTTCTCAATCGAATCCTTTGCAACTAATGTTTCACGTTTGTAAGTTGTATGGCCTGCTGTATCCTCCTCACGTCCGCGCAAGTGCGGATTGATGCGGATTGGTAGAATCAGATGCGGCGATGATCCGAGATGCTTTTATATACCTACCGTTTCGGCCATGCTGCCTTTGCCTGAAGAATAACTGCACCCAGTGATGTGCCGAAAAGAGATTGTGATGCGCCCAGGACGGACTTCAGATTTGTTGAATGCCTCCAGGATCAATTTTTAGGATGCAATGCTTTGGTTTACCTGCACAACAAACCAATCATCAACCCCCTGGAAATCTCCTACCACGAAGCTGTACGACCTTGACGACCGACAACGACCCCTTGCCAACGACCCCTGGGTGTTGAGATGGGATTTGCAGGTATCTCCATCTTCAGTGAGGATGAGAACGATCCCTTACCCGGAGCGATGGGGGCCTTAGACGTCGGGAGACCCGAGGTATGGACCGCGTTTCCTTGTCCTCAAATGCGGTTTCACCGCGGCTCGGAAAGGAGGGACTCTAGGGTCATTCGCTCGTGGCGGAGCGGCTTACTTTCTCTCTGGTTTTGAATCTGAGGTAAACCTCCTGTGTTTCAGGTACTGTAGACTGTAGCCATGAATTTATATGTTTGTCACGTTTCTGAAAGGAGCGATCTCCTTTTTCCGGTCGCATGACCGAGCAAAGACTTCTGGCTTTGGCTCCAGTTGCTCCCGAACCTGGACTTGCCGGAAGAGGACGAGCGTAAAGAGCCTTCTGAGCCTGCGATGGTCCTGGAGGCGGGGTCCAATGGGTAAAACATGGTCAAGCCTTTCCTTGGCTTTGCGGCTCTTAAAAGAAAGAGACAAATCACCGAATACAATATATACGAGAGATAGATAGATACACATCGATCGATACCAGGGGAAAAACTCAGGTCCGAATCTAAAATAGATAGGTCCTGAAGGTCAAACAAGGTCTGAAGAAGGTCTGAAGAAGGTCTTCTCGGTCTGAAACAGAAACGAGAGAACGACAAGACAAGACGGAACAGAGGCTTAGACCGGCTTGGACGTGGATGGCTGCCCTGTGGAGGGAGTGAGTGAGTGAGTGAGTGAGTGAGTGAGAGACAGTGAGACAAAGGAACATAGGCATTGTGACCAAGAGTAATCACCACGTGCTGAATGAAGGTGCTGAATCGAAGCAGCGGCTCTCTGGCTCAAGCTGAGAGTTTACCTGGCGTTGCAGTTTGCAAAGCCTAGAATGTCCAAGTAGAAAGATGAGAGGGTTAGTCATTTCAGCTGTGTGTCTTCACACATCTCAGCTGCGTGTCTTCACCAGCTGAGTGATCTAATCAACGATTCTTTCCAGACTCTTTCTAGTATCCAATGACTTCAAGAAGAGTGTTTTACTTTCTCCGGAGGACCATGGTGGGAAGTTCGATCTGAAGCACGGTCAGAAACCCATTGTTAGATCATGAGCTACTTTGTCACTGTCGAAGAAACGGGCTGGGACTCGGGGGTCACTGGTGGAAGTTTCGCAGGCTTCAAAAGCACACTTCCCATATCTTTCCATCAAACAGTCTTGAGATCATTGGTCATTTTCAGACATGTCTTCGCCAGGTCCGCGGTGACCTGGTCGTGGTCCGTGCCGGGCAGAAGCTCTTCACGAAGGCAAGGCTCAGCCTGTGAACGATGGGGGCCTGGGCGGGTCCGTCGGAAAGGTGGAAGCTGCTCGCGCAGACTTTGTGCTGCATGTTCCCACGAAGCAGCTTCTTTCCTTTGTCCAAGTTGGATAGGATATTTCTCGGGGGGCGGCTGAGGGTTGGTCTTTTCTGCTCGGAGTGCTGACCTTGGGAGAAAACGTGGAGAGGCCACGGGAGAAACGACCAGCCACAGCATGCTGGACGTGCGATGAAACGATCAGGATACTCCTGGCACGATCGCTTGCACCGATAGCCCAGAGCTCAGTGAGAAGCACCACTTCGCCGCGTCCGCCGTGACGACCGACGCAGTCTGCCTCCGAATGTTTGTGGCAACGTTCTCTGCCCGAACTAAGCGGCAGGAAGAGATGCGCAGAATCAGCGAAAAGCCAGGTAGTTGTAGAATTGATTGTCCAAAGAACTCTGCGAATGTCAGGTGGTGCTGATGCTGTATTGCTAGCATGGAAGGAAGACATAGCAGTGCGGCTCTTAGCTTTTTGGTGCAATTGTACCACTCTTGGTGCTGAGTCAGGTTTTTTGCCTTTGGGTTTCAAGATGCTTCTTGTTGAACATCACATGTCAAACCTGGAGCCATACGAATGATCACAATGATCAATGTGAAGAACACTTGCGACACATGACACACGAGCTGGATCTGATGAAAGTACTTGTCATCCAATGTAATACACATCCTTGCCCCAGCCGAGCACTCCACGGCAGCACCTGTGGGATCCCCAGCGGCAGCGCCCGCGCCCAAACCGCCAGCGCCCGTGGGCAGATTCTGCAACTCTTGGCGGGTGACACGGAGCCCGGCGATGAAGTGCGAAGAGTGGAGCTCGAACGCCCAGAGGTTGGCACGAACGAAATCAGGAGAAACACATACCTAGAACAGAGTGTGTAATTAGTGAATTAGTGTGTAAATAGATGTAAATAGATACAGATCATAAATCATATATCATCATGCTATATTTGATAGAGTGCAATTTGGGCCATGGCCATCCGGTTCGGCCATGCAAGGAAGAAGTTCCTGCAAACAAAGTGCAGCAAGGAGCTGCGGGGGAGGATTCTTGATCCTGAAGGGCGACCTTTGGATGGTGCCTCGGATAAGAACCGTTGCTGTCAGGGCATGGAAAAGGAGCCGGAAAAGGACATGTCAGCATGGTGAATGCAGGGCGTTTGTATTTCTTTTTTGCTAGGTGTGAGGGTGTCACAGATGCGTGTTGACCTCAAGATAAACTCTGGGATCTACTCTTTTTTGGGTTCCTCTCCATCAAAAGGATGAGTGTTGCTGTTCTGGGAAAGGCAGAGGCCGGCCGTCCGGCGGTCCTTCCCGTGCCAGACCGGTTCGATCATGGAAGGGCCGTCCTTCCAAGCCGCTCGAGGTTTGCCCATGCCGGAGACCTTGGAGATGAGGAATACCTTCATCGTTCCCAAGCCCAAGCAGGTGCTGTAGTGCTGTAGCCGGTCCACCACAGATCCACTGATATCTCTCTTGTTGTTGTGGAAACCATTTGATCGTTGTTTGGATTTGGCAAAAGGCTAGCTTTTGAATGCTTTGGCAGTCCAGACCAGGGTCAATCGGCTCCACTTTGGCACTCGTTTCTTGCAGAATTCACGGAAAAAAGAAGACAAGCACCTGGTCGGAGCTCCGCCCCAGCGAAGCTCAACATCAGGGGACTGATCGAGTGTCTGAAGGTGAGAGTCCTTCGACGTGGCGCCACGTCGAACAGGAATGCACCGCTCTTGAAAGACCATGCGCCGCTTTGGCTCACTGTGGCCCGCAGCTACTTATAGCTGCTTTTGTAGGGATCCACTAGGTGCTTTTGTTTGCTGCAGCCAGGCAGGCTGTGGTGAGTCTGCACTCTTTTCAGACGTCTGATTTTTCGCAGGGGTCATATGGGGCCATCAAGATCAGAAGAGAAGGAAAAACATGCAAAGACAAGGACAAACGGTTTGTTTTATTTGTTGAGAGGGAGAAAACACAAGAAACCAGTCACTGTGAAACAGCTGAAATAGAAGCCATGAAGGAAGAAGAAAGGGCCTTCCGGCACCGCTCAAATCAGGTCCCTTCAGTTTTCCCGACATGGCTGAACAGAGCCTTGGCAGAGCTCAACCGTTTTCGTGCCATTAGGATTCTCCTGTGTTGGGCACCGACTCAGGAGCAAACCTGCACCTAGTATGAACGAAATCCTGGATAAGGCCACCAAGAAGGCTAGGAGATGCATCTTGGCGTTGTCCTCGCACTACATGACACACACACACACAGGACAAGTGTTATTTTTTTTCCGGAAACGCTTTGCAATTTTCCTTCCCAGAGTCAGAGTCTGCCAGTTTGTCTTCTCCCCTGCTATGCTCCACACACACATGACTTTGCAGGCTTTGAGTGGTGGTATCGCTGGCATGGGTGCACAAGCTATCAATGCCCGGAAGCCCATGGTTTCTGGCACGTCAAGCGCTTTTTTGCTGCGGGAGTCGTGAGTCGTGGCCTGGTGAGGTCCTCACGCTGATGTGGATGCGAACCATCATGAACTATCAGTATCGCTATGGCCAGCTCCTGAGCTCACCCGTGGGCTGAACAAAGCTGGAGTTCTGGGATTCTCTTGATGAAATCGGTACAGCCCCACAACAGATCCTCCCCAGAAAAACCCGCAAAAAGAGATGCCTGGTCAACCTCATGAGTGTCAAAACCGCCCTTGACCAGGGTGAGGAGGTCATATGAAGTGATATGAAGGTCCTGAGTCCTGGTGATCGGCACTTCAGCGAAAATGCAGATCGTGCCAAGCCATTGGGCACCTGAGGTGGAACCTTCAAGGAGGTCGTCACGAAGCTCTATGCCGAAGGCGGCATTCCCCGCTTCTACCGAGGCTTGGCGCCTGGACTCATCCAGGCCATGATGGGCTGGGATGGAGTGGAAGGAGCCAACCCCATCGGCATGTGCGGGTACCTCGCTTCATCTGGAGGGAGGTGAAGTGTACATCTTCAGAGATCTTCGTCAAGGGATTAAGTATGATTGAGTTGTAGATGGTGTTCCAGTAAGGTGAAGTATACCTTTGTAAGAAACAAGATGGAACCCACGAACCCGAATGCAAACACGTTCGAAAAACTACATATGTCCAAATGACACTCTTGTAGGACACTCTTGTGGGACACTCTTTTAGGACACTCTTGTGGGTCACTCTTCCGGGACACTCTTGTGAGACACTCTTGTAGGACACTCTTGTGGGTCATTTGGGACTCGGGACACTCTTGTAGGAAACTCTTGTGGGACACTCTTGTAGGACACTCTTGTGGGACACTCTTGTAGGACACTCTTGTGGAACACTGTTGACACTCTTACAGGACACTCTTGTGGGTCACTCTTGTAGGACACTCTTGTGGAACACTCTTACAGGACACTCTTGTGGGACACTCTTGTGGGACACTCTTGTAGGACACTCTTGCGGGACACTCTTGTAGGACACTCTTGTGGGTCACTCTTGTACGAAGCTCTTGCGGAGCATTGTTTTGGGACTCTCTTGTGGGACACTCTTATAGGACACTCTTGTGGGACACTCTTGTGGGACACTCTTGTAGGACACTCTTGTAGGCCACTCTTGTGGGTGACTCTTGTAGGAAACTCTTGTGGGACACTCTTCTGGGACACTCTTGTAGGACACTCTTGTAGGACACTCTTGTGGGTCTCTCTTAGGGGGCGCTCTTGTAGGACACTCTTGTGGGACACTCTTATAGGACACTCTTGTGGGTCACTCTTCTGGGACACTCTTGTGGGACACTCTTGTAGGACACTCTTGTGGGTCATTTGGGACACTCTTGTAGGAAACTCTTGTGGGACACTCTTGTAGGACACTCTTGTGGGACACTCCTATGGGACACTCTTGGGGGGCACTCTTGTAGGACACTCTTGTGGGACACTTTGGTAGGACACTCTTGTAGGACACTCTTGTGGGACACTCTTGTAGGAAACTCTTGTGGGTCACTCTTGTAGGACACTCTTGTGGGACACTCTTGTGGGACACTCTTGTAGGACACTCTTGTGGAACACTCTCGGCACTCTTACAGGACGCTCTTGTGGGACACTCTTGTAGGACACTCTTGCGGGACACTCTTGTAGGACACTTTTATAGGACACTCTTGTGGGACACTCTTGTGGGACACTCTTGTAGGACACTCTTGTAGGACACTCTTGTGGGTCACTCTTGTAGGACACTCTTGTGGGACACTCTTGTACCACAGAGGGACACTCTGTGGGACACTCTTGTCGGACACTCTTGTGGGACACTCTTGTGGGACACTCTTGTAGGACACTCTTGTAGGACACTCTTGTGGGACACTCCTGTAGGACACTCTTGTACGACAGAGGGACACTCTGTGGGACACTCTTGTCGGACACTCTTGTGGGACACTCTTGTAGGACACTCTTGTGGGACAGTCTTGTAGGACACTCTTGTGGGACACTCTTGTAGGACACTCTTGTAGGACACTCTTGTGGGATACTCCTGTAGGACACTCTTAAGGGACACTCTTGTGAGACACTCTAGTGGGACACTGTTGCGGGACACTCTTGTGGGACACTCTTGTGAGACACTCTTCCAGCTCCCCAGATACTCCGCGTACTAAAGTTGTACTACAAGGTCGCCAGTCCTCAGCTTCCAGCTCCACAGTTTGCTCCGCGTACTAAAGTTGTACTACAAAGTCAGCCAGTTCTCAGCTTCCAGCTCCACAGATTGCTCCGGGTACTAAGGTTGTACTACCAAGTCACCAGTTCTCATCTTCCAGCTCCCCAGATACTCCGCGTACTGAAGTTGTACCACAAAGTCGCCAGTGCTCGCCTGCATTTCGCGCGCTCGACACGCACGATCTCCGCAGAGGGTTGCGCGGGCACCGGACAAATCGCACTCTCGCCTGCATTTCGCGCACTCGACACGCACGATCTCTGCAGAGGGTTGCGCGCATGGGACAAATCGCGCTCTCGCCTGCATTTCCCGCACTCGACACGCACGATCTCCGCAGAGGGTTGCGCGCGCATGGGACAAATCGCACTCTCGCCTGCATTTCGCACACTCGACACGCACGATCTCCGCAGACGGTTGCGCGTCAAGTCTCCAAAACGAGCGTTTCGTACGAGACTTCCTCAAAAACTCACACATCAAAGTCTGCAAAACGAGCGTTTCGTACGAGGAAACACCCATCGGAGCACACACATCACGCAGCCCTGCCAAGCAGTTTCGCGATTCCAGCCCCTCCAAACAACATACGCTCACACGCCAATCCCAATGTGACCGCGACATTCACCTCTACCACAACTCACAACCTCACGATTCCCTGCGCCTGCCACGAATCTTTCCGCGTCCACACGTTTAACGCGCACAAAGTACTGCGCCTGCCACGAAATGTCACCTCCGTCACACCTCGCAACCTCACGATTCCCTGCCCCTGCTACGAAAATCGCACTTCCACACCTCAAAACCCGCACAAAGTCCTGCGCCTGCCACGAAAAGTGACAATATCATCTCACGTGAGCTTCAACAAAATTTGCACCACACCACACGTTTGGAATGATTTCGACCCGTTCTGAGCACACTCCCATCCACCAAAATCGCCATTTCAGCTGAGACTTGTCACGAAAACCGAGCTTCGCTGCCACACCCTGCAATGCAAATCCCAATGGCACGGCCACGTCCAACACCCCAAAAACACGACTCCCCAAACGCTAATCCCAATGGAGCTGCGCAGCAAACTGCGGATCTCACAAAACGCTGCGCCTGTGCAGCAGAATGCATCACGTTTCTTGCGCGACATGTCATTGTCATGCAAATCACAATGGAATAGCGGGGCAAACTAACATATGACGCATCCATGCAAAGTCACTTGCAAAAGCTTCCCCCAATGGCAGCAAATTTGAGACGCGACGACGACGACAAACGACGAGAGACGACGAGAGACGACGACACGACGCAAGCCATGCAAACACAGCTCCAACCCCCAGACCCCCAACTATAAACGGGAACCCTTCGCTACGCATTCGGGAAAAAAAACACATATGATACATACTTGTAATCCCACCCCTCCCTCCCTGTTGAGGATTCCTTCTGCTGTCCCGCCATGTCCCGCGGAGGCTCCGGTGTCCCGCTTCGGCGACACCGCGGCGAACGATGGAGCATTGGCCGCGCTAGAGCACACGACGTTGCCCACCGCCGTTGGGGGCCCAAGAGGTGGAGTTCCACGTCTGAGCTCCACACACGCAGGGTGGGTGGAAGACTGGTGGGTGGGTGGGTGGGTGGGTGGTGGAGGGGTTCGTTGGGTTGAGACAGCCACGTGGTCAAAGACGGTGGTTTTGAGCCGGCATCTCGAGATGTTCTTTTGCCATTGCTTCTTTTGGCCAGGCCAAGACCATGTGTGCATCGGCTGCCGCAGCAGGCCTAAATTGGATCCTGTTGAGTTGACACTTACAATATAATGTTCAATTGCTCCTGTAAACACCTGTAGACTGAAGCTTCAGCAGAGGTCAAACAAGTAGGAGTAGGCTGACTCAACCGCTGTCTATGTATGGACCCATTTTGCCACCGCGGTTTTGGTGGCGAAAGCGCGACAGGCTTTCGCCTGTTCCTTATGCCAATCGATGCCTGGAAGACCACCAAGCAGGCAGACAAAGACACCAAGCCTTGCTGACGACGTTTGACCAAATCATACGACCCCGTGATCTGACGGATCTGAAGTTTGTTCCCATGCACGATCCTCTGAAATCAAGAAATCAAGTTGGCCATACTTCTATAACAGAAAAAGGACGAAACCGCAAGCTGTTGTGATTCCTCCTGTGATGAAAGTGGACTTAACAGCATGGAAAGCATATGTCCAGGTGGAAGGAAAGGATGGCCTCAGAAAGCTGGTGGAGAAAACTAAGAAGCACCCTGATCTGCATTGGCGAAGCCGGTGGAAGCCGCTTTCGATGGGCGAGTGAACCGTGGTTTGGTCAGACTGTCAGACCAAGTCGAGCCACATGAAGGCACATGAAGGCACATGAAGGCACGACCAGGTTGAAGTTCTCATCCGTTGCAGGGTGTCTTCTCAGTATTCTGAGGCCTGCCAACTCTATGATATCTCTTGCCTTCGGCCCGGGTCACACCAATCCTCTAGATACTTGAAGATCAATTCCAAGAAGCAGAAAGAATCTTAAGAATAAAACAGTCATATCTGTCATCCAATGGGGTCCTGATACCACAACCCCTATGTGAGCTTCCATTCAGTTCATGGCAGAATGGCACCATCTCGATCATTTTGCCCTAATGTTGGTCCCTCTTGCAAGCCAACCCAACCATCCACTTACCTCGTCCGCCTTCTGGCGCTGCCAGGCATCCCACCGCCTTGTGGCAAGGAGGCGTCGGAGCCATGTCCGCCACCTGGGTCTGGTAGCCCCAGACGGATTCGGTCGACTACAACGGAGGGGTTGAGGAGTTTGGCAGCCGGGTTGGTGGAATGTCATGGGGAAAATCATACTTCACCATGGTCCGCAGCAGTAGTGGGGGAGGGAAGACCACCCTGTATATAGTTCCTTCCTGCTCAGTCTTTTGAAGACGGATCGATTGATCTCCATTGCTCATCCCACCACGACTGGAAGTCGACTCCGTTCCGAACAGCGGAGACGTCCCTCTGTGCCACGACCGGACGGTCGCGCCATGGTCGTCTTGGCAGTTCAGAGGGCCCAGAGATGGCCAAGGAAGTCACGCCCTGGTGACTTCAGGTCGGCCACTACCCATGGTTCTACACCAACAATCAGCTTCGTGGGAGCTCTCAGGATGGGGGTGAGCTTGCACTTTTGACTCTTGATCTGGCATCCTCGTGTTGCCGGCAGCAACATGTACTTTGCTGTGACGGACTAAGAGTCTGTAGTAGTGGCATGGTCGTGGGCATGGAACACACCAGGAACACACCAGGAACTCATCCAAAGAGCTTCACCACCACAGCTTCGTCACCTCGCCCACGTCGTCACCCCGGTTCGATGGTTCCCAGGTGAATCGCTGCCTCAGTTTGACTTTCCTTATGGCAAGTACGTCCGGTGGCCCGCGAGGGAAGAGCATGGGAAGAAGGAGGAGCTTTTTTCAAGCACGCGCACGCGAGAGAGAGAGAGAGAGAGAATAAACAAAGCTGAAGATTGGAAAACAAGATGGGTGTATACTGTATAATGTTTGAGAAGCAGATTTTGCATGGTTTTGCCACATCTCCAGTTCTTGATGCAAGAGGTTGTGGCATGTCCTTGAAGAGCTCCCATGAACAGTTTGTTTTATATCAAACAACAACAGCCCCCTTCAGGGTGTCCAGGTGAGATCTCTTGCCCACTGAGGTGAGAAATGCCTTCATTGGATTCTGTTCAGCGGCCGTCTCCGACACTTGCAGCCTGCTGAGCTGGACTGCTGCGTGAGCTGTTAGAAAGAGAGCTGTGAGAGAGGCTGTTTGTGTCGCTTCACCGTGGTGGCACCGGCCCTGACGGCCCCGAGGCTCGAATTCCTTGCGAGTGCTGAAGACCACGCGTCAGACTTCTTTGGAGCCAGTACTGGGCTCAGTCGAGCTGAAAAAGGGCACCTGGCACCGCCGGATCCGATGCATCTACGATCTGAAGGTTCTTTGGGTCATGAACATGGGGTGTGCCGCAAGTTGTTTCATCCAGGTCTAACCGTGAGTTCACGGAATATGTTTTTCATGGATTATTTTTGATGGAATGTTTTTCAACAAGGGGTATGAGGGGTGGACTATTTACCCTGGGTCTCTTTGGGTTCCAGCACCTTCAAAAGACCCTTCTTCGAACTGCCTCCTTAAATGAATCCACCAACCCCCATGGCCACCCTAACCTGGCACCCCCTTCGGCTGAACAGTCCCCCTTTGGAACCCGAGACGACGCGACGCGTCCAACGCGTCGACTGAGATTGGCTACTTGGACTCCGTGCCCCGGCGAGTTGGACCCGGGTGTGCCGTTCGTTGAGGGAAGATCCGAAGAGACCCGGAGATCCGTTCGGAAGCGAAGCGAGTGAACGTGCGCAGAACATCTTCGGGCGCACCAGAGGGTGTGGGGGGTGAAAAGGATGCCTTGAAAGATCTTGAAAGAGACGTCTTTCTTTGGGCGAGCTAGAGTCCAGAGCTTGTTTTCGGGCATGCAGCATACTTTCCCATGTCCACAAAAGGTCTGAAGTTCAGAGGTGGATGATGAAGGATAGAAGCAATATAGACATGAGGATGGCCAGTCTTGGTTCTTGCTCCATGTTAGGGGAAAACATGTCACACTCAAACTCGGATATATGGAATAATCAACCTGCAAACATGTCTCAAACTTCGTTGCTACCTTTCACAGACACGAATCGCTCATCTGAGAGATTGTTTGGGAGGCGTTGGGAGGGCGTTTCCACCCCAAAGGCAGTCGTTCAACGCATGGAACCTCGCGACCTGCGGACCGTGTGACCGTGCCGTTGAGGCCAAGCAGATCATTGCCAATGAAGGCTATGCGGGGCTGTTCGGACGGGAGCTCAGTGCAGAACAAATAGGGTCAGAGAGGTCTATGCCAACGCTGGGGAAGATTGGAACCAGAAAGGCTTGGACGGCTTGGGCTTTCTCCACACACCAGTGGCTTTCAGCTTCCATGTTGATCTTTCAGGGCATGTTTGTTCGTCCTTCAAAAACAAAGCATTGCCATGAAAGTCGTTGTCCAGCAGATGTGAACGACGTTCACACGTTCCGCATGTTCTTCGCTCAGTGCGTCCTCAGGACGTGGACTGAAGACACGGATTTTGACCAACGGGGTCCAGGGCGCTCTGTTTACTGTTGGTCGTGCACTGAGTCACATGAAAGCACCTGTCTGAAACAGCCGGCAGGTCCGGAACAGTGTCTGGTGCAGGAGTGGATAACGTCTTGGAAAACGTTGCGGCTGCACTGTTTCCAAAGATGGAAGTCCATACATTCAACAGTGCTTCTGGAAGAGAAGCTCCGCAGGAGTTGTGTTGTTCGCTGAGGTTGGAGGGCCATCTCAGAACACCTGAATAAGCCTGGGGGCCGAACGACTCTCTCTCTCTCTCTCTGTTTGTACTGCCGGTGGTTGGGGGACGTGTACGACGCTCGAACTCTTGACTTTGGTGAACAAGTTTGGTGGATTTTTCTGATGTTTCCTTGCACATCCACAAGCATTTGGTCTGTGGTCGGGGGTCTCAAAGTCGTTGGCGAAGCTCCGGATGAGCGCAACAGTTGCAGATTTGTAGGAGTCCGTTTGAAAAACCCTTTGGGAATCCTTGGAGCTAGCTATAGCTAGCTCAGAGGTTGGAGAGCATCGCTAGTAGGTTGGAGGGCATCGCTACTAAGTTGGAGGCCATCACTATTAGGTTGGAGGCCATCGCCAATAGGTTGGGTGGCCATCGCTAGTAGGTTGGAGGCCATGAATACTAGGTTGGAGGCCATCGCTAGAGTTGGAGGCCGTCGCTACTAGGTTAGAGGCCATGGCTAGCAGGTTGGGGGCCATCGCCATTAAGGAAGTGTTTATCTTGATTGTTTCCTGTGGACCTTGAGGGCCTTGAAACTTGAAGCACTTATTGTTTCTGTCAACATGTCTTTGCCAAGGCCCGCACAATGATTCCTGCGCACCCTTCCTGCGTTGGATGTGTCGGGGCCTTTGAGATAGACGTGACCTGCATTGATGTGCAAGAAAACTGTCAGACCTGCCTTTGATACGACGCTTCTCACGATGTCAGATGATGTCAGCTGTTGCGAAGGTATCTAATCCTTTCCCTCTCATCCTGTGCTCGGACTGTGAGATGAACTTGAGCCCGACTGCACGGTGATGTATCCAAACCTGCTCGACAGACCGAAAAGAGAGTGCGCTGCAGGGGCTTGGGGCTTTCTGGGCTTGCTAGTTTGGTCAGTGGATGTCAGTGGTCTAGTCAAGTCTCTTTAGCTCTTCCAAACGCATGACCATGCATGACAAAAGCACATCATTCTCTCCACACCATGACTCTCTCTCGACCAGTGATGAAGAAATAATTGCCACTGCCAAAACCACCGTCCAGGTGATGAATTCATATGAATTCTACCAGTGATGACTCTCTCTCGAAAGGAAAGGAAACTCGACGTCTCGTCGACTCTCGGTACGGCGCAGGTGCGCTCCGCGCAGTACCGAGCACTCTTCACCGGTGTGCTGGAGCCTCAGCGGTGAAGAGTCCGATGTGGCGATTGGCCTCGAAGATCACCGGATCGAGGCAAGGGATTGACTTCGATGTTCCCATTGGCAGCTGCCTGAGTGGGAGATGAGAAGAGAGTCATGTCGAGGGGCAGAACATGGTAGAACTATCACCAACGGAGTACCAAAAAGGAGTGCGTTAAGTTGCATAAAGAAGAACATTTACAGTATATAGTTCCGACACGACCTCAAAAAGACTTGCAGGCAGACAAGTCCGGCTAGAATCGATATGAACCAAGTTGTACTCTCCATGTGACCTACCAGCAATAGACTCTGGCCAGGCCGTGGACAGACCATGCTCTTTCAAGGCTCCGATCCAGAGAAGGACCGGAAGTACCTGTGGTTCGGCTCTAAGAGCCACGGGGGTCTCTTCGGACCCGTGGTCCGGAGGGTGGGACATCACCCAGTGATGAGTCGTATCGTTAGAATCATATGGGTTGAAGATCCATCCTTTCCATCCTTTCCATGCTATGATCAGGACATGTGAGGACGAGAATGGTACCTGTCGGACGCCGACCGAGTCCCAAGGCCAGACCTGCTGGCCTCTCGACCCATCATGGGCACGCAGAAGGATCTCTTTGTGAACGAGCGGAGACCCGGGGAGACCGTGGCATCCGTGGCATCCGGCATCCGGAGGGGAGACCCGGCGTGAACCACCGGGGGGGTTGTTTCACTGAATTTTTTAGTTACTGTATGTCATATGATATCATACTGTATCATGTTAGGTGGGGAGAAGGGAGAAGCTTAAGGTTCGACATGTGCTAGTGAAATGCACCAGTGGCTTTTCAGATTTGGAGGCATCTCAGCTGCCGCAGTGAACTGATGCTTCCTTTGACGTGACATCGATTTGACAAACCTCTTGCAAGATCCGATTCATTTGTCCACATGGACCTGTTAGCGACTCATGTGTGCTGCAAGATCCGATGCGGTCCGCCTCCGAAGTGAAAGCACCCAGCCCTTCTCAGAGAGGTGACCTCATGATCGAGTAGTTTGAAACTGACTGTTCGCGTTATTTGGGGACCATGAACTACTGTAAGTACTGACTGCTTACCAGTTTTACAGATCAACCCCCAAGGCCCCCTGCATGAAGGATGAACCATTCGAGAAGAGTACATATCTCACACCTATCAGCTGCAAGATCTCGAACCCATTTTGTTTTGGAAGACAAGGCATCCTCATTTCTTCATATGTTATGTCTTCCGTCCGGTCTACCATAGCTGCCACACCCCATGGTTCACTTCCCAATTCCCAAGCCTTCGCCTTTCTCCGCCCGGGTCAGCGCACCGACACCGCGCGCGGGTCCGCGCAGGTGGTGGTCTGCCGGACCTTGGACGAGGCCGAAGCGATGAAGAGCGACCTGCAGGCGGGAGCGAGTCGCGCCGGTGGTGCGCCCAGAGGAACGGGTCTTTTGGTGCGGAGAAGGGATGATACGGATGGAGGTCTGGATCAAGAGTTTCTGGAGGTCTGGAGGTTTGACTGGTGACTAGTGACTAGTGTAACATGGTGCAACATAGTAACATAGTGTAACTAAGGGTGTTGTACTAGTTTTACTGTAATAGTAAAAGAAAAACATGTTCCCCAACCATCTATTGCTCCAGTCTGACTTAGGAATAAGAAGTAGGGACCAGCACGGTTGGGTCCAATTGTTTTTGTTCCTGATGGGCTGGGAGTGTGCTCACTAAGTATCACAATAGGGGGGAGCAACGGCAGCCGAACCGATGGTAGTGGGCGAAGTGGCTCGTTCATCCCTGATTGAGGGACAAAGCTGGCCAGAACTACAGTAACTTCTGAGTCTGTCTTTTCGTTCCCTCTCTCTTCACCAGTACCATGAAGCGAGCATAATTTTCCCAGATGTCTGGTACTTTCCAGACTGGTCACTGGTCGTTTCACCGAAAAAAAGAGAACGCGACTTGTCAACTGCTTCTCCCCATGAGCACCAGGCCCGGGACTGTTGGGAGAACTGCACCATCTATGTGTCTGTGACCTCGGGAGAACCGTGGGCGCATGGAATGAATATGCATGGGGTCACAATGAACATGAATGAAATGAATGAAGCGAACATGCGTCCTGTCACCATCCTGAACGAGATGTGGGCATGTGTGGACGCTGCGCTCCCCGGTGGACGAAGAAGAGATCCGAGACATGGAGGTAGGATCTTCTCTGTCCCAAAGCCAACTAGTCCAGGTAGAAACTGACCCATTTGGCCCGAGAGCTATACAAGACACCGTGGTTTCTTCCCCATTTCAGCGTGAGCGTTGCCTCCCCTCTCTTGGGAACCTGGACTGGAAAGCGTTTCCTTCTATCACTTCTATCCTTTTTTTGGGCAGGCCTAACCCTGCGCGTGGTTCGCTCCAGTCATTTGAGCTCCAAGGCCCATTTCCGACGACCCAGCCTCCAGGCTGGGATGCCTCTGATTCGTGGCAGAACAGTTGGATTGAATTTTGGGCGTTTGCCCAGCCCATAAGACATGTTCTTTTTTGATATTTTTTGGGTATGTGATGGTATTTGTTGATGGCTATTCAATGTTATTGTTCTTTAAATATGCACATTTGCAGGGATGAAAGCAAAAACACACTCCGTGGTCGACTCGTTGAAAAGAAAACAACCGAAACCCTCAAGGACCGAGACGGACGAGACGAACACCGGTGCGCCTGCAACGCGTAGGATGATCGCCTGCAACGCTGCCATGACGCTGGCGGAGTACTTCGGTGAGGAGGGCGGGGAAGGTGTGATGCTCTGCGACTTCGAAGCGATGCACGATGCCGGGAGACTCGGGAGGAGAGGGAGAAGGAGGAGTGCAGCTGGAAAGGGTTGGAGCGTACAGCAGTTGTGTAAATATAGGACAAAACAACATGAATTCTCAAGGGGACCTTACTAAAGAGGCCCTTATATATTGTTTTTTTCTTTTCCTTTGTGTGTTCTTTCAAACATTGAGCTGTCAACGTTATGGACTTGGGAGAGTCGATTGTGATTTACCGAGAATCTCCAGACGTGGGACGTGCTGCGGGGGACGTTCAGCCTGCTGAGGTGTGGAACATTTTGGCTGAAATGGCCGGCCAGGCAGGGCTGGATCACGATTGGTTCCAGCAGGGCTGGTGAGTTGGTCTCAGAAATGCCATGGGGAAAGAGATCAGGTTGGTTGGTGCTTGGAAATAGCTCGGGGCAATCTGGGGTGATTTGACTTCTCAAAGACGAAGGCTATGGTGCTTCGATCTCAAATGATTAAGTCCCTTTACGATGGTCCTTTTTTTTATAATCATTTTTAAGGTGCAAGAAAGGAGACCGCTGCTGCAGCGCCTCGGACAATATGTCCCAATGCCGATCGCTCTAACCGATCACTTGACAATGTCCCATGGACTCAAAGATCTCAAAGAACACACCAGAGCGATACGTTCCATCCTAAGGCCGGACGACGATACTGCCCTCTTGATGATCCTGTTTACTTGTAGCTCCTAGAAGCAGTGATGATAATTCCAGAAATAGGATTGCCTCCTGTTGCTTACGCTGCCTTCATGAAGCACCGCCCTACACCGCATTTTTGCAGCGTGTCATAAGAGAACAATGTGGAACTTAGCTTTGTGCTCATGCAACATTGACACTGGACTGACACTGGTGCCAAGTTGATGGGGGTGGGGTAGATCAGAGGCATTACATGGTGGACGGATGTGGTTGAGCTGTTTCCAAGCATTGGAGTGCTTGCACTGGATCTTGGTGCAGGAACGATCAGCTCGTGGTTTGATCGTGGATCCCAAGGACAGTCACGCATCGTGCTGGTTCGTGCAGAGGGACACCTCAAAAAAAGGTGCCAAACCTGGAAGCACGATTGAGAAACAACAATGACAATAGGCTTGTTGGAAAGGCTGAGTATATATATATATATATGTATAAACCTATGACAACAAGATAGGTTGAGAACACCGCCTATCTTAGCTTAAATAGGTTTCCGCTAACAATGGCCCGCCGACAGCAGTTTCAGTATCAGGAGGAACAGTGGGTACAGATGCAGGGCACAGTTCACTCCCTAGTCATCCTTCTCACTATCTTTGTCAAGCATTTGCCAGTGAAACGGTTAACAAGTTCTTGCAAAAGAATCGGTTTCTGCACGAGATCCTGCTTGGACCATTCTATAAAGCATGTCAATCCCTCGCTGGACTCATGTTCCATCCTCTTCCGCGGAGCGGGTGCCGAACCGGGTGCCGCGGTGCACCCGAGGTCATCCGTGAGTCGATCGCCGAGCGGCGGAAGTTCTGGTTCCGCATGACGAATCGTGCGATCAACGAGGCGCCGAAGAGGGACCGGGAGCGGCGGGGCGTTGGCCCGGGTCTTTTGTGTCGACGGAACCCTCCGTTCTGCGGGGGATGTTGAAGAGAGGCATCAAGAAGACGCTGGTTCTTCAAAAAGTCTAAGTTTCTGGGGTCATCTGACATCTGAAATAATTTGGGCGAAAGCTTGCGATTGGGAGTTATGCATTTCGAATGCAGGCTGGCAAAGGTTCGGCCACCTTGTTGGGATGGCTTTGGGAACAAGATGGCAGCCTGCAGTACCGCCAGCAGAAGGCCCGGTGCCTGGGCGCGGCCGTGATCGACGGCGCGACCGGAGAAGCGTCTCGGTCGACGTCCAAGTCTCGGCCGTTTGGGGCTCGGCCAGATGTACGAGATGAA